TACTTATTAAAAATAAATGCTATTGACTTGGGATTATATTACTAAACATAGTTAATTAATAATATTAGTAACTCAGATGGTCATGTGATGTCAACATGGCAGCGCCCATGAGGGGGCGACCTGCTGCCTGTAGATATATATCCTCCTGAGACCCAGCTATGGAGTTTTTGCCTCTGTAGTGGACATTATATTTTAGTGAATTTCTCTGAGACCTCACATGTCTCAGTTTTATGTCTGGATGTCCTGTACAGAGCACATTCAGGGCTTTCCAGAGATACCAAATGATTGGATGTTTCACCGTGACCACTCCCTCTCCTTGGTTTTTAAAAATGGCTGACATTAATTTAGTGATAAAACTGTACATCCTTATGGAAATATGATTATATTTTGTAATGAAACAGGACATAATTTCATGCATGTCCACTGTAGAGGTCACCAGGACTAAAAGCATGATTATTATACATTTTGGGAGACAAAAGAATTGAATAGGAAAACAAATTATATATCAATATTCTTATGAAATATTAGATATTATTATGAAAATCTGGCCAATTACTACTCCCATTATTACACTTCTTTTTTAATTCACAAAGCTTTTTATTTCTGGTTCTCAGGAGGATATATATATATATATATATATATATATATATATAAGACTGGAGTCTTCATCTCATGTGAGTAAACATAATTTAAAAAAAAATGTATCTCTCAAAAGTGCTATTCATTTCGTTTATAATTATCAATGGAATGCATTTAAAGAATTTTGCGGTTACTCATCTACAAATTTTAGTGACTTAACGCAAATAACATTCACACTACCTCAGTATAGGACCTTTATATCCCATGTAATTTTGTCATACACCCTAAGCACACCCACAATATGATCTGGAGTACACGTATTAGCTTTTAAACCGACCAAGAAATGAAACAAGATATAAAGAAATATTTATCAACCAAGCTATCTGCTTTAAATAACAAACAGCTGTCTTAAAACTTTGTCTGCCTGTCTACAGCACCTAGACCGCATTATCGGGCCTCAGGTGAGTCTAAAAAGATGAAGATCGTACTTGTTTTCTTCTCCCGGTTTCTCTTGTCGACCTCAGTCCAGCTGAAGTACCATCCACTCAGGGAAGCCCTGTAGCGTTTATTACCGATCCACAGACTCGACTCGACTCTCACCGAATCGATCTCCATCGCCTCTCTAGTAGCCTTTCATTTATCTAGTAAACTTCATGGTCCTACAAGCATTCAGCGATATTTGTATCCATGCAAGAATTTCGAATTTCTAACATTTGAAGCGAACAAATCTAAGCTTTAAGTATGTTTAAACGTTGGTTAAAAAGAGCCTCCGTGTGACATAAGTTGATGTAAGGCAAGTTCCGATACATGAACCCGGCTGCGTCTTCTTTGCTATTAAATGCTTTACCTATTTGACTGTTCATGCACCTGTCCTGGAACATTTGCATACGCATCTCTCATTGGATAAACATTACATGAATATGCAGATTGTAACCGGTATTCATTATTGTAACAGATCAGGCAAAACGGGTTACTTTCAAAAGCTTTCTCTTATGAAGTTAATTTCAACTTTATGAAATAACACTTAATTTACGGTGTCTCGTGTTATTAATAAGTTAGGTTTTATGGATTTTAATGTTGGAATAAGTTCTGTCTGTGTAATGGTGGGCGGAGCTAGTGAAATAAATAGCCTACTACACATAAATAATCTGTAAATGGACGCTGTCGAAATATAAATTACGTATGGATAAATAAAATCACCGTATAACCTGATGGGAATAGCAATAACAGATAGGATATTAATGTAAGCTTGTCCTTTTTCTGCAACCTTTGTTTTTACAGTCAACATACAGTTGGTGACTGACTGGTATGACTAGCTGACATGAAGGTTGAAATGTGTTATGGAGTGTCATGTTTTTGTTTTGTTTGTTTTTTCTTGGTGCTGGATGCAATAACTGAGATTAGTCTGAACACATACAATATGGACATCAAGTGTCACCAACACAAGTGCCAGTCTTGCTGGACTGCATTAAGCACACCTTACTCATCGTTGGTCTATTTTTGTGTTTCTTCTCTTCCTTTATATAAATCAGGAAAGTTGACTTTCCTGAAAAGCTGCTTAACTCGCCTGACTGCAGCATGAAAAGGATTCCCTAAAGATTGTATCTCCTAACAGAATTGAAAGTAATCGAATCGTAAACGTTTGTTTTAACCGCCTTCACATGCCAGCATGCAAGAATAAAAAAGTTGCATGCATCTTTTGTCGCTAATAATTCTTTTATTTTCATATTGTATGACATGCCGTCATTTATATTGATTTAGACCTTAATTAAAGTGGGCATGACACAAAAAGACGTATGCCCTCCCAAAAGAAACCCTTTTCAGTCTTTTCCAGTCTGGTTTTAATGTACTTGTCACAAGCCTGTACTCTGTATTTCAGAACAGTTACTTGTAACTTCCAGCAGGTGGAGACAACAGTTTAGATATGCATATACACTGCTCATAGCAAAATACAACTGATATTGTTTTTGCTAAATTTAATGAGATACCTGTTATAATCAATAAGATTATTCAATATTCATTTTTTCTTCTACGTTTTCAGTTTTTAGATTATTTTCCGATATTCATGTGTTCCTTTCATGCATAATTTTCCCTCTCAAGCTGTCATTTTGTCAACTTGGATGTGAGGGTTTAAAGAAACTTAATCCAAAAATATTAAGGCGTGAGCTATTTAATTACAGTCAGTTACATCATCAAATGTAACAATCTGACATCATCCATTTCATGTTACAAGCAACGTGCGTCTGTATTTCCACAGATACAGTGATGCATCTCGGCTGCTTTCTCAATAATCATTCTCTACCGTTTTGTTTGGGAGTTGCTAGAGGAAATCCAGCTGGGCAGATGAAGTCTAAATTGAAAACAGCTGCTACACAAACTCATGGCAAGACAGAGGCATATTTTGTCCCCGTTATGGATGTGACTGGGCATGGAAACAGATCCTGTGCAGATGTCCTTGTGATACTGGTTGGAGAAAATTCTGAATGGCTGAACAGAAAGAGATGACAGAAGTGATCAGGGGGAGTGTTGATTTTCTGTGGGAAACTTCTTTTATTATTGGGTTAATGCACTAACTGCAACTATTGACATGAGTTTTTTAGTCTTATATGTGGCTATAAAACTACATTATAATATTATAATTATATACATCTAAACGCTTCTTTATGCACTTCTTTGAGTTAGTTTCTAATAGCCAAAGGCAGTCTTGGACCATCACTGGTGGCTTCACAGTTTTATAGATTTATAATTTGCTAAATAATTATAATTTAATAAAATAATTTTTCTTTCAGGGTAAGGAGGTCAATATAATTTTATGCTATAAAAAAAGAGTCTGCCAAGAGAAATGTGAATAACAGCTGTAATCAACATTGACATCTTCAGCAGAGAGTTTTAAGAGCTTCATAAGTTATGCGTCATTAGGTGGTGCTACTGCCACAAAGTGATCTAAACCAGAGCACATTTACTTGGAGACTGTGCAGTGCTTAACAGCAAACAATCAACTTTAAGCTCATGATCAGGCATCGTAATCAAAAGTGATATGATAACTTTGGCTTTAACTTTGGAATAATTTTGACTTTACAAAACAACCATACTTTCAGAAAATGAATAATACAAAAAATAATAACCAACATACTGTAATAGTCTCCAAAATGTATAAACATTTAATTGTAATCATTTTATATCAACTTTATTAATGTTTCTTTCTGCATCTTTCAAAATCAAGCTGAAGTGACATTTTACTTATATAACAAATACTCATGATTCATAGGCCTTAGATGTAGAGCTGTAAATTCAGGTTTTGCTTTTTAAATAATATTTAAAAGTCAGATGCTTTCTGATTATTTGTCATTGGTGTTGTTTTAAAATATGATGTCAAATAGCACCATACAATTTTAAATAGCTAATAAATCTCTAAAAACAACACTACGCAGGTAAAATGATTAAATAAGAATTATTTTATATTTTTGCTATAAATGTAAGTGTTCTGCATTACCTGTATTCATATAGACAAATAAAAGTGAAAATAAGTGAAGTGACATGTGGCCAAGTATGGTTACCCATACTAGGAATTAGTGCTCTGCGTTTAACCCATCCAAAGTGCACACACACAGCAGTGAACACACACACACTGTGAACACACACACCCGGAGCAGTGGGCAGACATTTATACTGGGCGCCCGGGGAGCAGTTGGGGGTGCCTTGCTCAAGGGCACCTCAGTCGTGGTATTGAAGGTGGAAGAGAGCGCCGTACATTCACTCCCCCCACCGACTTACCCCTGTGAAAATAATAGACGCCAGTGGTCAGAGATTCTTAGCAGGCTATACAGTCATTTAACCCTCCTGTACCTTTTGGAGTTAGTTTAACTAGTTAGTTCAAATTAGTGATGCCTTGGAAAGCCTTTGATGTTGACAAGACCTTCCATTAGCATGAGACCCAGTGTTTTATCAAATATTTTGTTTATTTTATTATTATTATAAAAAAAAAAAAAATACAACTGGCATTGCATATGAATTTTGCTATAGTGTAATATGCATTTGGCATATTGAACACATATGCATATTTTTTAAATGAGCTTATTTGCACCTGGTAAAGTTACAGTGCAAAGTATATATTGTGTATTTTTCATGTAAACTTTAATTTTGTTTAAAAAAAAAATTTTCCCCCTAATACATGAAGTACTTCTCCTTAGTAGAGGCGTAGTCCAGCTGTAAGATCCCGGTCCCGGAATACCATTCCGCCTCTTTACGCCAGGCGCTGGAAGGCTGTGTCTCAAATCCCAGTGAGCTGCCTATCTAGACAACACATCTGGGCGTCATTCTTCTGGGCATCGTATACGTTTCGAGTGGCTTTCCGTGTCTGCTGAGCAGACCCCAAAATATGCTGTCTGCCTAGGCAACTCGCTAGGATTTGAGACACAGCCATCGTTAACAGTTCAACATCATCGCACTGAAGTGATCCGCTAAGGCAGTGCATGCTGAAGTTTCTGCTGCCCAAGAGAACAAAACGGATATTCACAAGTCAACCATCAGCTTCTCTTCGTGTAATCTCACAAGGGCTCAACAGCAGACGGATTCCTTTCTTTTTTGGTAAATGAAGTCCCACCAAGTGTGGGACGGAGAAGCGACGGTGGTCTTGCTGTAAAAGAAACTTTTGCGAATAAATATAATTGTCAGTGGCTTCAAGTGGCGGACTTTGATTTTCCCAGCGGCGTGTTTGGAGTCGTGCTGGGCTGGCAGAAATGGGGACGCGGATACGTGCCCATAAACTCACTCTTTTTATCATCCCTTTGATATTTACATCGCACGTGTTTAATGTAAGTGATGCATTTGCATTTTTATACGCTTTTAATATCACACCGCCCTGCCCTTTTGTAACAGGTAACTGTATCAATGGAAATGCAGACTGAAAGTTACTTTGCAAAACTTTGAGCTGTTATATAATCCATTGATTTTCAATCCGTTCTTTTTGCAGCATTTAGTAAATCGCGAACTGTATCATGTGAACGTTGTGTTAAGTTGCATCGATCTCTAAAGCTCGACTCAAGTGTTGCATGTGTGTTCTAGTCCTGGTCTAATTTTAAACATAGAAACGAGCTATTCATAGTTGGTCCCACTGGCGTCTTGCATGTCTGTATACTTGGACAACTTTATTTCTCTTGACACTCATTGATTTAGAGCACTTTCATTGCACATTAACTTCATGTCTTCAAAGTCATGGCTTTAGCATTGCAACTCTTATTATTGATGATGTATGCATCCTATAAGATACTGTTAATTCTGTTCAGTCATGCACATTAACTTATTTTACCTTAATTAACTGACATACGTGTTATGTAATAAATAGTTGCATAGTATATATATATTATTGTTTATCTTAGTTGCATGTGAAAAAAGAAGCGGTTCATCTTGATTATGGGTGGTATGATCTAAGCCTGTTCTGTGTTTGCTTCCTTTCCCATGTTGTCATGATTAAAGTAATGCATATAGACTACATTTTTCCCCTCCTGTGCTTTTCATAAATCACAAAAACTTCTGCATAGACTTGCTTATTATCAACGACTGATACTCTTGTGAAAGCTATCTTTGAATTCTTGGTTTTACTATGACATTGTGCATTAACTTGAGAGGTTTATACAGTAACGGTTTGATAAAGTATGTTGCAGTTAAAATAAACACTGTCTGAATGAGGCAAAGCAGCCAATCTAATGAGCAGGTATGAAAGTTAATGTGAAAAACAAATACCTACATCTCATCTTTCTTGGTACCTGTAATACTGTACTATTTCCAGCTTGCTGGTAGATTCATTTTAACTTTATTGCTTATGTAGGTGGAGAGTTACTGACTGGAATTGATCTGTTGCAATAGCTTGTGAAATTACTTTTACACCACATAGTGGAAAGTAAATCAGTTTTTTTAATACTGCACTATTTTGCATAAAGCTGTTGAAGTAGCCTATAGAGTAAGCTGAACACCAAGTTGCTATTGTTGGTCTGTTCCATGTAAAGCATATAAAATTTACGTTCGCTGATCGTAAGGTACCATAAACCACCTTTCTTTTTTTAGGGGGGAGATTTTTAGCAGCCTGTACAGTCATTTACCCCCTCCTGTACCTTTTGGAGTTAGTTGAACTAGTTAGCTCAAATTAGTGATGCCTTGGAAAGCCTTTGATGTTGAATCCTCTAAAAATCCTCTGGGTCACATGCTAACGAAAAGTCTTGTCCTGTATAATTTGAGATTCTTTAAATCGGCTTGCGTTCATCCTGCATACCATGTATAATCCCTCCCTTATCATTCAGACTCTTAGTTTACTGATGTGTGGCAGGGGCCCATCACCTTTGGTAATTTGAGATCTTCACTGCTTTGTCTCAGGGACTTCTATGTCAATTGCAATATAATTGAATTAAATGGAAGCAGTGCCATGTGTTTTTTTTCCATTACAAGCCTGCCCAAGATTTGACAAAGAGTTCATTTCATTCAGTTGAACACTTAGGGCTTCAGTTGCCATCGGCATCCCTGGTGTCCTACTGGAATTTCAGAGTCATAAGTATCAATCAGCACTGACAAAACCCCAATAAAAGCACTTTATTACCTTTTAGTTTACTGACACAATCAAGGTGCTCCCTCCCTGCTGTTAACTATCAATGGCTTGGTAATTGAGAGACGGTTCTTTGCTATTTATTGACGCATGTAATTTTTGGGTTAAATTGGCTACTTGTGAGGTCGTTGAAGTTTTGTGTGATGATAAAGAAGGGTTGCAAGTGGGTTCATGCCCAGTGGCGCTCCTTTTGCTTTTAGCTTGTTTGACCTTTATTTGAGATGAAGAAAAATGTAGGAAGCACCTTTGGGAACTGAAGACCTGCAGTTATTGAAAGTTTCAGTTCACATAAGCAAATCCAGTTTATGTTAGTTGGGACTTGGGAGTGATTTTATTTTAAGTTCTACTTAATACCAAAGCCATTATTTAAAGGGTTAGTTCACAAAAAATATTCTGTTATAATTTACATAATATACATGTCTATCCTAACCTGCGTGATGTTTTTCTTCTTAGGAACACAAAAGAAGATATTTAGAAAAATGTTTCAGTGTTTTTTGTCTATACAATGAAAGTCAATGGGGTGTAGTGCCATTTTGGACCTCACTGATTTTAATTATATGGACAAAAATGTTTTTCCAAACTCTTTTTTTAAGTTTTTAAAATCAGATTATGACAGAATTAAAATTTTTCTCTGAACCATCCCTTTAAACGTAGGTAGTTTATTATTAGCTCTGTTTTTGACTCTACAAAGCCTTTTAAGTGTTGAACGTTTGTCCCATGATGTCCAGCGTTACGCCATGCTATTTTATTTTGAGATGTCTCTGGTTAGAGAGTCACAAGTATACCCTGACTTCATCAGGGGAACATTTTAAGGTAGGTCTGGATTCCTGTGGATATATTGGGTTTACTGCTTCAGACCATAGTTACAAACACATTTCTGTTGTGTCTTTCACCGTCTTGGCCTCCCTAGTATGCCCACATTTACTGTATCTTATGCAATATCTAGATATAGTCCAGCCATCCTGGTCAATTTAACACCCACGTGGTCTTCCAAGTAAGCGCAGGGGAATCTAGCGCACAGCGTTGGGATAACTGGGCCCATGTTCAATGAGATTTTAAGGACAGGAGATTATTAATGGTCTCAGTGTGCGCTTCTATACATCTTGTTTGTGAGCTTCATGTCAACCTAATATGGTGTTACATTCAGCAAATGCTAGGTTCTTCGATTTAATGCCGTTAAATCAGACATTTTGAAATGGCATTTATTTAGAAAAAATGTATGCTACGCTCTTTAAAATAAAGATTCTAATTTTGGATTCTTTTGTTCAATGATAAGGGCAGTCGTGGCCTAATGGTTAGAGAGTCAGACTTGTAACCCAAAGGTTGTGGGTTTGAGTCCCAGTACCGGCAGGGATAACCCTCTTCCTCCCTCAATACCACGACTGAGGTGAGACCCTTGACTTGAGCAAGGCACCCAACCCCCCAACTGCTCCCCGGGCGTCACAGCAAAAATGACTGCCCATTTTTGCACACCACTGCTTGGGGTGTGTGTTCACGGTGTGTATGTGTGTTTGTTCACTACTTTGTGTGTGTGTACTTGGATGGGTGAAATGCAGAGCAAAAATTTCGAGTATGGGACTCCATACGTGGCCACACTTCACTTCAGGTTTCGTGGATGCAAAAGGCTCTTCATGGAAACATTGATGCCAATAAATAAACGCTGACATCTCAAAATTTACTCAACAACCGATGGACAGAACAAAGTCTGCGCACATTCAGTGTACTGTATGTCACAATACGAAAAAATCTGTCTGTACCTCAGTATCCTTGCAAGTTCATTTTTAGTGTTTTAGTTTGGTTTAGGTCGGCTTTTGGCACTTGTAAATGGTGTGGCTTATTTATCGATGTGGCTGAATGTAAACATATAGGCACATATGGAGAACAGCCTGTGCTGCTGTTATTTTCATTTTAAAAAGTACAACCAAACTGTTGGTCTTTTGAAAACAATTTGCAGAGGGTTGTTCCCACCCATATTTGTGATTGTAAGCACATCAATTTGTCCCTCCGTTCCGCTTCATCTGCAGGTAACCTGCGGTACATCACTGTGGGAATCTTCATCTTTTATTTGCCAGCTGTCTGTGATAGAGCGGCAGGCAGAGTCCAAACACAGCTGCAGCTCAGCTGGTATTGTAACCCTGGCAAGTGCAGACATGAGTGCTCATACTTATTGTGTGGCTTGATGCTTCATAAGATGCGCCCTTTTATTCTGACCACCCAGACCCATAAATACAAAAGTAAGGTTTTTGCTTGATCAGTTATGTCAAACATGTTGCTTTTGAAGAACAGTTCAGACCTTTGCTTCACAAGAAGAGCTTGATGTATTGCTGCCATTTCAGTGCATGGATAACTTGTAGATGACTTGGTTGTTGGTAAGCTGTCACCTTCAAAAATGTTTCTGTAGCTCAAGTGGTAGAGCATAGCACCAAAATCAGGGTTTCTATTCCCAGAGAATATGCATATTGATAAATTGTAAAGCATAAGTGTACTGCAAGTGAATATAAACGTTAAAAGCCATGGCACCTTACCTAGTGTAAGGAAGTTTTTGTTTCTTTGATGAAGTGCTAAATAGCAGACCCCTGAAAAACGTTGTAGTTGCTTTTTTTTAGTATTGAAATGGGAACAACCGGTCTCTTTTATTACCTAGAGCATGACTCGTGTATTATGCATAATTTGCTGTACTAAAATATCTGTATGATTTTGGCTAAAACTAGAAAAAGGTGTGTTCTGTACAACATAACTATTTATGGAGTTTTGTTTATTTGGACCTTACCTTATATTTTTCATCTAGATTACCTTTGCTGTCTAGCTAATTTTTTAAAACTCAAATAATTCAAAACTTTAACAATTTAGTTTCATTTAATTGTAAATAAGTTGAGTGTTTAATATTTGGCAGATCTCTATCCTTTTTTTCAGTTATTAGCCATAACATTAAATTAATGATCAACTTACTGCATCTAGAATTGTAATATTGGTATATCCTCAATTTTTCCTTTTTTTCAGTTACAGGTCTACAGTATGCCTAATTGATATATGGAGTAAGTGCTATCAACAATCCCTTTTAACGTCACACTGTTTTTCATCAGAATAGCATCCCTATGCATGATATCAACGTTTCCATATCACTCAATACATGTCATCGTAGGTGGTTTTTGCCAGTGCTTGCTGGATATTTATAGCAAGATGAAGTTGTAAAGAGTGTCTTGCTCGATCTTGTGAAAA